TCATAAAATATCTGTTTTCATCCTTAACACAACATCTGCGACAAAGACTATCATTTACGGCTCACTTTCACTGAAAAAATCCAAAAGCAGGATTTATCCATCTTAAACATTATGGGTAAGGGCAGAAGACATGCCATGCCCCAACTTTTAACTAAATATTACTCTAAGCCCACGAGATCATTTATCAACATCGCCAACTCTTCACATTCACCTATACCAAATTATTTCTGCTCCATTACAGTACCAATCCGGATCTAAAGTTCGTCAAAGCCGGTTTCTATTAAAAACCAGACTTCGAGCAAAAATCATTTTAGCATCAAATCATTTTTTACGATTTCAGTTGCCTGAATGTTCAGCATTCAAGAAATCCTATAGATATTCACTCAAAACAGTAGAATACATAGGTTTCGTATGATCTCTAGAAGCCTTATGTCACAAAGATCCGGAAATCCCACTTGACCTTTTGAAAGAAGTCGAACAAAAACATTGTTTTCCCTTACAATCGAGTTAAACTTTGAAGCAGATCTATATTGAACATATTTCTATATCGAATTCCTGTTGAACCCTAGGGTGTGGGTGATTGGGTAGCGGAGACTCACACCCACACTCATACTCATACCATCACTGGCGCCCACACACCCACACATGCTCGAATTCATTACAAGTATTGTTTAAGCCTTTACATTGAACTAGCTCAGAGCAAGACAACAGAAATTGGTCGGCACCAATGCTTGAGTTAGAAGAAGCAATCATATGGAAACAGGCACACGCAGAATGCGTCGAACATGGAGTGTATTCAGTCAAGCCATCACATGATTGCCATTTAGCTCGACCTATCAATACACTAATGAATTAAGAGCAGGATATAGAATAAAAAAACGAATCGATGTTAAAATTTTACCTGAAAAGTACCAATATGAAATAACAAATTCCTGTCGATACCATGACACTTTTGTGAAAGTGAGGCTCAGTTCTATATCAAATAAATAGTCTCATAACGCATCATGTAGGTGTAACTTGGGTGAAAACCCATGATTTTAGACATTTTATATATGAGAATTAAAATTGACAAACAAAAAATCATTTATGATTAAATCTGATATCTCTGACGTGTTAAACAGAAAGCTCAGTTGTTTTTACGTGATAGAACATTGATCTAACCAAGAGGAATAAGCGATTCCTTTATATTGATTATTACAGAGTTCACATCAGATTTTTGTTTTTCTGTCTGTTTGTCGTCATATGTGTATGCTCGTATGAAATATTTATAATGGAACACGAGTTCATCATTATCACATACATATCACACCTGTGAATTTTTTCGAAAAAGAAAAGAAAAAAAATACACATGTGCAAGAAAATGAACAAAATTCTATGAGATTGTCGTTGATAGGAGGGATGATAATGATGATGATCAAAATAACAGATAACAACAATGCGGATATTTTGTTTTTTGTGTAACTAAACAAAAACAAAATGACAACACATTGACCTAATGTTTAATCATAATTCATTCGAATCGTTTCTTTTATTATTTACGTAGATCGAGTACACACACCTGAAGCAAAAGAAGAAAGGACTCTTTTTTTATCGATCCATTAAAACTTACTGTTCCGCCGGAAGCACTTGCACCAACACGAGTACGTCGATAACTATGAACAATTTCTCGCTAAAAAAACAAAAAAGTGATCATAACTGTCAAATATCATTTGAAATTATTTACTGCAATATCCCAAATATAAATCGCTTTATCAAATGAACCAGTTGCTAATAAACGACCATCTGGGATGAAAGCAACTGAATAAACAGGTTCTGAATGTTTTACAAGTATATTTTGACAAACACCACGTTCAACATCCCATAAACGTACAGGTTGATTCATCTATTTTTAGTAGTTTTATTTTCATTATTATAGAAGAAAAAAAACATTACAATTTCAAATGATATTCTATATGAAAACCATGAGCTTTATATATAAGAAATAGTCGTTTTGGTCAGTGCGCTAAAACTGTATCAATATAAGTTTGATCCATCTTTGTCCACTGATGTGAAAGTTTTTTTTTTCAGTTCGCTTAGGCTTCCAATTTTCTGTTTGTTCAGCCGTTGTTTCAAATACCTCCAGATCGAATAGTCCATGGGAGCTGCATGTGGTGACTTGGGCATCTATTCTTCGGGTTTAACATATTTTACTTTTGATGCATTTAAAAAGGCAATTGTTTTATTCGAAACGTGACTAGGAGCGTTGTCTTGATGGAGATTTTTTTTCTTTTTCTTTTTGTTGGAAAACAAGCGAGGAACGTCCCGTGATAAAAAATGGTTTCAAAATATTGTTAATGTAGTAGTCTGAATTAATTTTGACACCAGGCTTCACAAAACGAAGAGAGGTCTCACCATAAGATGAGATACCAGCCCATACCATAAATCCTTGTGGACGAGATGAATCTTGTTCAAGTATCATTCTGTCATAATCTGGATCAGACTTTTTTATGTAACAAACTTTTCTTTTTCCTTCAGTACCATCGAGATAGAACCAAGATTCATCGGTAGTTATGAAATTGTTATAACGATTATTAGCTAATTGTCGATAAAATCGAGGTGGAGGTCGACGATGTTTTTCGGCGTTCGATGATGTTAGCTTATGAACTTTTCGTTTTTTCCGAAGAGTGAAGTTGGCTTGTTTTATGATTCTTAAGATAGCAGATTGACTAGCGTGACAAGATTTAGCAATAGAACGTTGAGTAGGAGGATCATTGACGTCAATTGCTTGAATTACTTTCGATACGGTCGATGGCGTAGTCACTGGTCGCTGCCGAGAAAATTTAATATTTTCAACTGAATTACGTTGGAGACCAATATTTCGTTTAATGCTAGATACAGTTTGTTGAGATACATTGATTCCATCTTTTTTTCGAAATCTTAACTATTTGTGGCTGAGAGTATTTTAGTTCCAAAAGAGCTAAAATACGTCTCTCCAGACCATCATCAATTTTTTTTCGTGACATTCCTTTAAACACAGAATAAACACATTAAGAGAGAGGGCAATCATTTCTATCACGTGATACTGTCAAACGATTTTTCTTTCTTTCCTGTTATAGATTTGGAAAAGTAAATACGAACGATCAATGTAAATGAAAAATGTTCATTCGGAATAAAATAATATAATCTAAGCTATATCGACTACCATGATATTGTTCATTTCTTCAAAAACATTTCAGAATTCACCAGGTTATTTTTTTATTAACTAACTATTCATTTTTTAGATTCAACTTTTGCAAAATCAATATCTGAGGAGAAGAGATATTTTCAAGCTTAGAATATATACATCTCGATGCCGTCTGTATGAACTTATATGATTATTCTTCAGTTATTTTTGAGAAAAATTCTAATTGAATAAAACTACAAAGCTGATGCTTATCTGGTTATTCATCATCATCATCAACAAAAAGTAGCATACATTTGTTGACATCGAAACTTCATGAAATAGCTTAAGCTAGACGACGAGAAACAAACAAACGATAGGTGCTGAGAGTTCTTTGCATTTTGAAATAAAAATTTTTGCTCTTGTACCAGATCGATCTTTCCATCAATCCGCCATTTTTCGTCATTGCAACATGTATTCGATTATGAGAGATCCTTTACCGCTTAGTAAGTTTTAAATAATGCTTAACGAAATATTTTTTGAATTATAAATCTAGGATTACTCTAAAGCAATAGAGAAGAGTTTGAACGACTGGTTGATGAAAAAAATGACAAACAAATCAATTATGAATCTCTGAAAAATTGTGTTCTACAGAACACATTGAAACATGCATCGAAATAACGTTCATCTTATTGATCTACCTAATGAAATAATTATTATTATAGCACAAGAACATCAAGATTTGTTCAATTTCTGATTCAGTACTAGATCAATTTTGTATTGATATATGTTGCTACGAATTCGTTAATAACAATGTCAACTCTTTCATAGTTGTGTTCAAAAATAAGAAAATGAATTATTCCTTCGATAATTATATGAGATTTTTATCATCTTTTTTTATTTAGATTACGAATATTGTCTCAATAGTATTATTTCATTTGTTGACTGAGTAAATATTACAATTTGTCATCTTTAATTCAAGTTGATCAAATAATTGTTGTTACTTAATATAAAAAAAAGATGATTGAACAAAATATAACTTTCAGATTTTAAACCTGAAAATTATTTCATCTCTTTTATTACTTGTTCTTTACGGTTTATTTGTAAAAATATAGAAACTGTTTATTTGTAAAAATATAGAAACTGTTTATTCCGCTTTTATCGGTTGGATAATAAGATAAATATGACAATACTGGCCGAACCATTAATCATCGTTTTTAATGATAAACTAAGAATAGCTACGAAAAGTTTTAGAAAATTGACCAAGTAATTCTGATGCAAAGCGAATAATTTAATGAGCAATCTTGTATACATTTTAAATTAATCAATATATTTTTAATCAGAATAGCTTCAGAATAACTCAAATTGATGTTTTCTTAGTGAAGTTATTCAAAAGTCAAACTTGAACATACGAAAGAAGTAATTGTAATTTTGTGATGGAAATAATATATCACGACAAGGTTGCCAACTGTTAAGGTCCCGAATGGGGTACAGAACGTCTCCAATGGGGTACAATAGGGTACAATTCTTTCCCTAATGGGGTACGTTCGTGGGGTACAAAGTGTTTTTTACAAGACAAGAAATTGACGTCACGAAACGGTTGGCAATAGCATTTTTAGCGAAAGAAAGATCACATTCAACTGCCTATGTGCAAGACATGATCTGGAATGTTTGTTTTCAAACAAAAGAGTTCGCAGTTATTGCTGTTTTCAACATATTTCTGTTCAAAAGATAAAACAAAAATGTTTAATTAGAAAAAACGCTCTGTATTCACATTAACTGGCGCACATCTTTTTTTCACGACGGTATTGCTATTTGCTTTTGGCAAGTTTGACCATTTCTGATTGCGACTGTACAAATAAATAATAATCTTCACATTTTAGCTTAGTATTTAGCTTCAACCTAACTTTTCGTTCAGCCGCAATGGTCTCAGTTGATATCGAGTTTCGACTTGGTGTCCATGCGTGCTTCATATGACTGAATCACCACCGAAGCAGACAAAAATTTGGAAAAGCACGTTTAAACGTTCAAAATGGGACGGCCATTGTGAGTCATTAGCGCTCATTAATAACCCGCAAGAAAGGCCTTATGTATTCAAAACTTTCATTTTTAGAGTGTGAAGCCGGCGGAAAACTCCAGTTTTTGAGTGCTAAAGCGCATTGTTTTTACATTATAGAACAAAAGTGCGCTTTAACGTTAAAAACTGAAATTTTCCGTCATTTTTACGCTCTGGAAGTACAAATGTTGAACATAAAATGTGCTTCTTGCGGTTTTTTAACGAGCGCTAATGGCTCACAACCATGGTTCCATTTTGAGCGTTTAAACGCATTTTTTTCGAAATTTTTGTCTCCTTGGGCAGCCGGCTAATATGATTGACACTTTTATCTCCACAAGAAAAACGCTAGTTAAAGCCAAAAGTGTCATTGATTTATATCTAAAGATGATTGATAGATATAGTGTAAGGGAAAAGTTCAAATGAGGTACAAAACGCGTACCCCTGTGGTACATATTTTTGCGGGGTACAAAAGTCCAAATGGGGTACTGTACCTCAAAATGGGGTACAGTTGGCAACCCTGTATCACGACCAGAATCACTCGTGATAATAATTGTTGTTAGTGCATATACGATGTAACACGACAACATAAAAGATCAATTAGCGGTATAGCCAATACTACAAGATTTGTTTTTTTGTCACTCTTAGGAATGCTTGTGATTAGGCATGCACCGAACCCGAGCTATCTGGGTTCGGTACTACCCGGGTTCGGTCGTACCCGGTATTCGGTCATACCCGGTTTCGGCACTACCCGGTATTCGGTACTACCCGGGTTTCATCATACCCAGATTCGGTACTGGAATTCGAGGGTCTACTAATTCGTATCCTTCGAAGCATACAAAATGAATAACAAATAGTACCTATAGGTCGATAATAATAAATGATTTTATTTCAAAGGTTCATGGTCTTTTCCTCAATCTATCATAGATAATCTTATTTACCAGGACAGTATACAATTAAATGAGCTTTTAT